CTGTCTAGCTGAGTACTGTCTAGCTGAGTACTGTCTAGCTGAGTACTGTCTAGCTGAGTACTGTCTAGCACAGTATGGCTTGGAGCAACATAGTTGTCAGCAGACCAACTATGAAACTATGAAATTATAAATTGTATAGCGTCAAGTAGAATGAGTCAGAGGAGCTGCTGATTCTCTTACAGTAAAAGAGTAACCTTTGGGATCCATATTGCTATGTGGAAAAAGCATGCAGGTTGAAGTAGCATATTTGTAATGAATATACGTTAATGAAAATCAGGCAAATCATTGTTATAGGTACATCTAGGGACATTTTGCAACTGTATGCTATGATTGTTAAACACATTAAGTGCATATATGTCATTGCTGATCCATTTCATAATGTTTTATTTAATCAGAAAAAAAATGTTTCTTGATACACAATCTACAATTTTTAGAGTTTTTTCCTTCACCAGACCCTACACCTGTTTTGTTTCCCAGAATAGTTCTTTTATACTCTGTATGAGGTCTTAGATAGATAGATGGATGGATGGATGGATGGATGGATGGATAGATGGATGGATGTTCTTTATTGATCCCCATTGGGAAATTGTTTTGTTACAGCAAGGGTTCTTCACAGTAAATAATTCAGTAATAAATAAGTAATAAATACAGAGAACAAAAGGCTGTAGCAGGGAGCCAAACAGCAGTACTCTGTGTGCATTGACAGCTGAGGCTGAGCTACTATACAGTCTGATGTTGGTAAGAATGAGCTCCTGTGCCGCTCCTTGTGACCGCGGACTGAAAAAGCCTGTTCAGAGGCTGCTGCACTAGGGTGCTAAGAAGCTAAATAAAACCTCACGTCACTTTTTCTCAGCTCAGGGGGGAGAGGGTATGAGTGTGAAAAAAGACTGCTGTAGCGCATTGCAGGAGTTCTGTGGAAATTGATACTGCACATCTACACTGTTGTTTGTGTTTTGGTCTGAAACCCACCAGCCACAGCTTCCGGCTGTGAGTCTACAGCAGTAACATATTTTCCATTATTGTTATTGCATTATTAGCTGTATTGCTAGTTACGTCAATTACAGTCAAAAATCTAGTGTTTCGGTATGGACAGTATTGTTAGAATTAAATAACTATACTTGTTTTCACTTCTGAATTTTCCAATATTAAATCACCTCATGTGAGTTATGACACAGTGCCATTTGTGTGCCTGTCATTTCCACACAACACTGTGCATCTTAGAGTGTTCCAACGCTTGCTGAATACATCCAATTCTGTGGTATGAGAGTAATAAACATATTATTGTTATGTTTTTCATTTGCTAACATGTGGAGTCCCATGGTATTACATTTACACATTTCCTCATAGACATTTTACATACTAACATGTATACATTCACTAGAAAACATACTTTACACACCAAATACTGTACAAGCAAAATGTAGAAACAAGGACACAAAAACAAGGAAAGACATGGCAGTGCAAACATTATGTACAGTGGATGTAACATGAATTTTAACCCCCAAAATGTGTCAAATCTCCACACTGACTTTTTACAGAACAATGCAGCCCGCTGTCACGGACTGGGCTTCTGCTGCTTTGGTTGTTGGGCGGAAGCTCACTGCCACGGTCAGCTCAGAAAAGGTCTTCGGGACTCATTGTGAAACCTCACACGACCTTTCATACCAAATGCTAAGGCTGCTAGTTTTAGCGCTTGCATTCTATTGACGACATTCTTCTGACCACAGTTTAGTTTTGCTTTTGCCTTAAATTAACTATATTAACCGTCTGAGCACCAACTCAAGAAAGAAGAAAACTTCAGTTTAGTGATACTGTTTCAGCAGATGCAAATATGCAGAGGAAAACCCTGGGGTTTGCGTTCAGTCTGCTCTTGTGGAGTGTGCGTGTACTCACTGAAGGTAAGGAGATCTGCAGCTTATGAGGGTCGATAGTTCAGACAAATCACATTTAGGACTGGGATTAAAGTAGGAATTAAAGTATGGCATGTGCAGTATTTGCAAAAAACAACTTGTTTGCTTGCAAATGTGCCCAGAAATATGCAGCAAATCCTTTTTAGATTGATTTAAATAAAGTTCACCTTATTGATAAGCTTTAAATTTAAGTAAATATAAATTATAAATAAATATATAAAATATAAATATATTTAGTATATAAAATTAATGCCATTATCTTTCAGTCTTTACAAGAATATCCCAAGAGATACACAGGGTTTGAGTATCTAATGAAAAATGAACAGAACTAATATTGGATTTTTACATGATGTCTTAAATATGTATTGTTTTTTCTTCAATGTCAGCATTACACACTTTCATATAACATAATGTAATATTTTACTGGATAATACAAAACTGCATTTAAAGTTTTAAAAATGCCTTTTAAAACTGCAGGACTGATGAACGACTGTCTGGAAGTTGGAAGCAGTGGTTTATTCCCATGCACAAACAGCTTATCCAATGAGTCAGTGCTTATGGTTTGTATTGTGCAAAGGACTGATGGCAATATGTGCAAAATCATATTGGACCTTGACACTTATGAATTAGTCAGCACATGTGACCCCAGGATGTCATTTAACATAACTGGGCTCACAGTATTCCTTAGCATCAGCAACATACAGCAGGCCGATGAAGGAAATTACTCCTGTGAACATGCTTACAGTGGTGGGATGAATGTAACTGACTTTAACATCTGTGTATCAGGTATGTGTTGCTAAATTATTGAACATGCAGAGACAACTGATTCCTTAAAAAGGGTTTTAGCTTATGGAGAATAAATACAGCATATGATATGGAATCAGCATGCCTTCTGTGTTAATATAGGATCAGTGAAGGATTGTGGTAATTTTGCACTGGATTATGTTTGGTTTTTAGTTCTTTCCCTCTAATCAGGAATGAAGACATTAACGTTAGTTATGTACAGTTATTTTCTTAGTGAACATTTTTACTATGGCACATTAAATTCACTAACATTTGCACTGTAGTGAATGTGCAGTTCATTTTAATAAAGGAGGGGGGAAAATATAAAAAACAAAAAACATACAATAATCTGGTTGTATAAGTGTGCACACCCTTAAATTAATACTTTGTTGAAGCACCTTTTGATTTAATTACAGCATTCAGTCTTTTCGGCTAGGAATCTATCAGCATGCCACATCTTGACTTGGCAATATTTGCCCACTCTTCCTTGCAAAAGTGCTCAAAATCTGTCAGATTGTGAGGGCATCTCCTGTGCACAGCCCTCTTCATCACCCGACAGATTTTCAGTTGGATGTAGGTCTGGGCTCAGTCTGGCTCATTCCAAAACTTTAATTTTCTTCTGGTGAAGCCATTCTTTTGTTCATTTGGATGCATGCTTGGGGTTATTGTTGTGCTAAAAGGTGAGATTCCTCTTCATCCTCAGCTTTCTAGCCGACACCTAAAGGTTTTGGGCCAAAATTAACTGCTATTTGGAACTGTTCATAATTTCCTCCACCTTGACTAAAGCCCCAGTTCCAGCTGAAGAAAAACAGCCCCAAAGCATGAAGCCGCCGCCACCACCACGCTTCACTGTGGGTCTGGTGTTCTTCTGGTGATGCGCAGTGCTATTTTTGCACCAAAAACTCCTTTAGGAATTGTGGCCAAATAATTCAAGCTTGGTTTCATCAGACCATGACACATTTTCCCTACATGTTTTTGGAAGACCTGATGTATATATATATATTTTTTTTATTTTGCCAGGCCTGGATGTTTTTCTTTGAAGGCCTCCATCTTACAACACTACCCCATAGTCCAGAGATTTGGAGAATAAAGGAGATTGTTGTCATATATTGTTGATTGTTGTCTACACAATCTAGTACTTCCCAGAAATTCCTGCAGCTCCTTCAGTGTTGCTGTAGGCCACTTGGCAGCCTACTTGACCAGTTTTCATCTTGTCTTTTCATCAGTTTTGGAGGGACGTCCAGTTCTTGGTAACATCACTGTTATCCCATATTTTTTCCACGTCTTGATGACTGTCTTCATGGTGTTCCATGGTATATCTAATGTACCCTTCTCCTGATTGGAACCATTCAGCAATGAGATCCCTTTGATGCTTTGTAAGCTCTCTGCTAACCGTGACTCTTGCTGTAGGATGCAACTGAGCAAATGTCAGGAAAAAATTACTAGGATAGCTGAACTTTATTTGGGGTTAATCAGAGTCACTTTAATTGATGGCAGGTTTGTACCCAAAAAGACTGAATGCTGTAATTAAATCAAAAGGTGCTTCAGCAAAGTATTAGTTTAAGGGTGTGCACACTTATGCAGCCAGGTTATTGTTCATTTTTAACGTTTTATACTTTCCTCCCAGGAGATAGGACAAGCAGGTATAGAGGATGGATGGATGGATGGATAGATGGATGGAAGATAGCAGGTATAGCGTGTGCTTTATATTTGTATGTGCCCTATGACGCATTGGCATCCCATCCAAGCTGTACCTTGCATCCCCCCCCCTCCCCCCGACCCCCCGAGACATTGTACTAAATCACTAGTTGGTATTTGGATTGGTCGAGTTAAATCATTTATTAATTTGTATAACTGATTGATTGTAGAAAGCTGGCAGAAAAAAACCAAGGAAGCAGATGGTGGTCTCCATCTTGTGATGTTTCTGAGCTCTGTAACATCTATAGCCACAGTTTGGGTTATTTTCCTAATCCTAAGGAGAAGACAGGAGATCCGAAACAAGACAGAAAAGGTGAAAAAATCGTATCTATCACAAACTTAAACATAATGCTTCATAGAAAGTCTCTGGTGAGGCTGGTAACCAGTAGCGGGGATAAAGGCATTCTTACACCGTATAATTGGTGCAGTTTGCAGCAAGGTGCAGCAAGATAACTGATGCTTACAAGAAGTATTTAGAAGTGGTTATCATTGTCAAAGCTATGCAATGATTTTACTCAGAACAGTTTTTAATTACTAAGCAAAATACACAAAGCTTTACAATTTTATTTCTTTAATCATTTTTTGCACATATCTCTGTGCCTGTTATGGGAAGATTGCCATTTCAAATCCTGCCCTTGGCAGAATAGTTGGTAATGCTTTCCATTAACCACCCCTTCATGATGCTTTTATATTGCATTCATAAAACATTGAGTGCACCTTCATAGTGTATTCATTAAGTATTCAGAAATCGTTCATAAACACCATGTATGTATACCTTAACATCCTAACATCCCTTAACAGCTGTAATATACATTAATAACAAACATTATATTACAATAACAAACATTATAATTGTATAATCATGTAATATTTGTTATTAATGTATATTAAAGCTGTTAAGGGATGTTAGGATGTTAAGGTGTACTTGCATGCTGCTTATGAATGTTCTATAAATGCATTATGAAAGTCCACTGAATGTTCTATAAATGCATAATGAATGCATTATGAAGGTGCACTTAATGTTCTACGAATGCATAATGAATGCATTATGAAGGTGCACTTAATGTTCTACGAATGCATAATGAATTCATTATGAAGGTGCACGTTGAGTGTACGTCAGAGTGCTGGATAAACGGCTGTCCCTCTGCTTGCACCTCGGTGCATGTATGTCTGAAATGAAAGCAAAGTGCAAAATGAAGCTTCCACATACCTGTACTCATGTGTTTAAAATAGGCAAACAAAGCACCTTTTCATTTAAATGATACTAATGCAGTAAGACCTCGGACATTCGCGAGATTACGTTCCAGAACCCGTCGCAAATGAGGAGGATTGGCGGATGTTTGGTAGAGTCACTAAAAAGGTAATATGCGCTTATTTCTATAGTTTAAACCCTAAATGTGCTCCGAAAACACTTTAATTTTTATTAATTAAATATTTTAAAATAATTTTAAAAACATTTTATTAACACTTTAATTTTTAAGTCAGCTTAATACATTACCTTTAAAAAAACAAATATTTGATGTAAAAATAGAGTACAGGATCGCCTAACAGATATTTGTCACACTAGCACATTTACAGTACAGTATACTAATGTTACCCCTACTAATTCACAGAACATGGCATTGGCTGCCATTTTCATTTTCTAAACGAACGGGAAACTTATTGTAAACTTATTGTCAGAAATCATATAGGCTACGTAAGCAATGTACAATTTAATAAAATACGTAAAGGAAACGTACGTACTGTACGTACAGGTACAGGTATTCAACCAATTAAAATTTACGTAAATACGTACAGAAATAATAAGTTGTAAAAATACTTTGTGTGCGCTAACCACAAAAAGAGAGAGAGAGAACAAAAATACATAGAAACATAACAAAATATTTAATAAAAAAACAGTTCGGTTCCAATAAAATTTTCGTGTATCTGTGAATTCGCGAATCACGAAGCGCGAATGCACGAGGGCTTACTGTATAGGTGACTGAGAAGCCTGTTCTTTTCCATTTCAGTTTTAGTTAAAATTGCTACATGCAAATAAATTTTATTTTATGTGAGTACACGTTTTGATCTAAAAGGCAGCCTTTTATGTAGTGTTAAAATACAATGTATTATTTGTTTCTGTTTATTTATTGCAGGAATTGAAGAATACTGAACTTGAATAAATATTTGGAGCAATACACAGACAATCTTCTTGGCACTGATTGTTACAGTCTTTTTGTGGCATGAGCAGCGGTGTGTGCTCTCGTTTTGTCTTCCCTTCCACTAGGTGGAGCCCCTCCAAGATCGTGAGCAGTGCAGTTTTGATGTGATGTACTTTTGTGTGCGCTTTGTGACTAACATTGTAAGGTGGTAGCACATATCCAATGCCAGTCAACCCATTACGCAACATAGGCAACACAGCCCACCTCTGGCACCATCTTCTAAGGCAGTGGTGACTTTATAAGCCAATTTCACTTTGTTTTGGATGGTGTGTGTGAAACTTGCCTGGGGGTGGGAGGTGTGGCATCGAATACTATGTAGGGGTTTTTGTCTGAATTAGTTGTTTGTATTGTGTCACCACTGCTGGAGGAGGGTAAGCTCCATTTTTTTTTCTTGTCTAGTTTTCTCCTCCTTTCTATCAGTACTCTCATTAAGGCGGGTCTTTGTTAATCACCTTGTTATCCATTGTTGCATTCACTTTACTTATTTACTTATTGACCAACCAGTTGAGCATAAAGAGTCACAGTCACAGAGTACTCAACTAGTTGGTTGAAAGTAAATCATGGTCTGGTTTTTTTACTTTCTGGACCTGAAATTGCCACCTCTGCTTATCGAATTGACAGATGCACAATGAAATTGCACATTGAATTACCAATTGCAAAATGAATTGTCATTTGAAATTTGGTGCCAAATATCTTCCATTATTAATAGGAAGTTAACTTTTACTTTTGTGGTTATTAAGTGTTTATGGGTGAGGTTAGTGTTCTGTTTTCTTTATTGCTTTGGCCTAGCATACCAAGCTTACCCAAAGAGATATGGCATGTTTGTTTGTCCTCATGTGTGTCTGGACATACCTGTAAATCAGGGCTACTCATTGCTACAGTACTCCTGCTACCACCCTGCAGAGCTTAGGTGCAGCCCTAGTATAACACGTCTGAACCAGATAAAGAAGTCTTTCAGTAGCATCTCAGTATTAGAGCAGCTATATGTAATATAAAGCACATCTTGTGTTAATTCACATATCGGATGCACATTTATCCTATTATGTAGGGTGCCAATGAACCACTTGTGCAAAGTGCCAACATAGAACCCAATTATATCCTCTCAACACCATCAATTTTGTAGGCCTTCATGATGAACAATTGCATTCAAACAACTAACCAAAACAAATAACTGCTGAATTCATGCATACAGAGGATTAGTGTGGTAAAAATGAAGAATTCAAAAGCATAATGACTGTAAAAAGCAACACTGGCTATGGCCAGATCTAGAAGGGCATGCAGGCACCCCCGTGGTTCAGTCACTTATACTCGTGCACGGCAGTAAACGCTGCAATGGCTCTTGGGATCGGTTCGCAAACCGTTCGTTTTAGTCACCAACCGAATGTCCGAAAACCGTAAGTTCGATTCGTTCTCGAACGGGTTAAAGTGATTAAAGTGACTCTGATTAACCCCTAAACGAACGGTTTGCGAACCGATCCCAGAGTCATTGCGGCGTTTACTGCCGTGCACGAATATAAGTGACTGAACCACGGGTATTATTACACAGGCTTAATAATAATAACAATAATAATAATAATAATAAATAGTTATTACAGGACATGTGAATTGTATGTATGGTCTGTTTTACAGTCTAGTTTTTTCAAAAATTTCGCTGGAGAAATATAACACATTTGCACTTTTATTTTAATACAGGAATTAAAAGACGAGCGAGTAATTGGACCCTTGAAATGACATGAAAAGTACAGTAATAATACTGTAAGCAGTCACATACAATAAGCACAAATAAATGTGTACAACATTTTTGTAGAACACCAGCGCCATCTTTCAGTCAAATAACGTAACCTTGAGACACCGTTCGATTTATTATCCGATCCCGTGATTCGTTGAGTCATACGGTCAGGCGCAAAAAAAGACGAAAAAAAATAGTGAATCATAGAATCGATTCATTACAACGGACATTTCGAAAGAATCAAGGGTGAGTTTCCCGAAGCTTTCTTAACGCTACGTTGTTCGTTAGTTCTATTTTTTAACACAGAACTTAAGAACGACCTAGCGTTAAGAACGCTTCGGGAAACTCACCCCAAATCAGTTAATTGAATCGAACTTCCCATCACTACAGACTACAACAATTTTCAACAGGCATTGCTGCGGGCAGCCCCTCCGCCGACAACGGCTACCTGGAGGACCCATTGTTTTACATGAGAGACACGCTTTAAAATGAAGCTCCAGCTTTAGTTCTGCGGTACCAAGCTTGACAGTGCTCTTGGTTTTTACATTCTCTATTTGGAAGTATTTCGCAGATGAACAGGGAAAACCAAAAGATATGGATAAGTCCATGTGCAAGAAGTGCTTCAAAGTTGTTGCAGCCAAAACGAGCAGCATGACAAATTTAGCGAAGCATTTGAAAGACCATCACTCCGAATTATACGCGGAGTTTTGAGAGATGAGTAAAGTTGTTGTTCAAACGTAATGTGAATATTTTAAGTGTCACTGTCAAGCAATACTGTTGAAGTAAGTTAACTATATAAGAATGGCTGTCTTCGCTTCTCTCATCGCCTTTGACAGTTATCTAATTGCACAACGCGCATATATTTTTCCCTGCTGCGCTATGCGAAGCGAGGAGTGCTTTTTTGAGTTTGGCTCAAAAACATTAAAATACATTTCTTTCCTGTATTCGTTTATTTATTAAGGATCTTTAGCTCTGTGAACGTCAAGAAAGCTGGAGGGGCAGATAGTATTCCAGGGAGAGTGATCAGAGACTGTGCTGACCAGCTGGCTGAAGTATTAACAGACATTTTTAATCAATCTCTGTCCCAGGCGGTTGTACCCGCTTGCCTTAAAACAGCCATAATCATAGAAGTCCCTAAAAAGATTAATGTAATTTGCTTGAATGAGTATAGACCGGTAGCACTCACCTCCATTATTACAAAATGTTTTGAGAAACTGGTTTTACAACATATCAAATCCAGCCTCCTCATTAACTTTGATCAACATCAGTTTGCCTATAGAGCTCATCGATCCACTGAAGATGCTATTGCTACTGCCCTGCACACAGTTTTTGCACATCTGGACCAGCAGGGGACGTATGTGAGAATACTTTTTATTGATTGCAGCTCAGCATTCAATCATATTGTCCCCAGTTGGCTGGTTAACAAAATGCGCGGCCTGGGTTTCTGCAGCACTTTGTGTATATGGATTAAAGACTTTCTCTCTAAACGTCCACAGACAGTCAGACTCGGCGCACATCTTTCTCCTAGTCTGACTCTCAGCATCGGGGTGTCACAAGGTTGCGATCTGAGCCCCATGCTGTATTCAATATACACGGCTTACTGCATTCCTGTACTCCACACAAACACAATTATTAAATTTGCAGATGATACAACAATTATTGGACTGATTTCAGACAATAACGAAACACAATATAGAGAGGAAATAGATAGGTTGATTGACTGGTGTGAGGATGAGAACCTCACATTAAATATCAAAAAGACCAAAGAAATCGTCGATTTTAGGAAACAACGTGAGGACCACGTCCTGGATCCATGTGGAGAGGTGATGAGGTTATTGTGTTTTAACTGCATTATCTCTGTACCAGTAGAAGCTGCTCCAACTCCAGTGCCCCCCCCCCTCCACCAGACCCAAAAACGTTGGTAAAGGTGTGTAAATGCTGGCAGTAGCTGAACCTAAAAGTGTGGCTAAATAGGTTATATTAGTAGCGTTTAGCTAAGACAGATCATACCTCTCACACTATGGCCTGGAGGAATGTTATTTTAAGTGTTGCTATTGTTAAATATGTGAAGTGCGATCCATTGTGTAGTGCTTAATTTAATCAATAAAATAAAATGTTTCTGGGTGTGTAATGTACAATTTTACCTCTTTAGCTTCCCGTAATTCTTCCTCTGTGCTTTGTAGCAAGTCTCATATTTCTTTTTGCTAATAAAATATAAGCCCTTCTGGGTGCTAAAAAGCAAAATAAGACTATTTCATTTCTTCTCAGAGGGGAGAGGGTGTGAGTGCAGTGTGCTGTAGTGCATTGCAGGAGTTCTGTGATAAATCACTGTGCATGATATCTGATGTTTTATTCTCCGTGCCGTAGGATCACACAAGGTCTAGAGCAGAACTCACTTGTCAGTATTGTGGTTTTCTATAATAATGCTTAACTTTTTAATTACATAAAGTACAGTTTGAAATGCACAGTGTTTCAGTGTGGACAGTATTGTTAGAATTAAGTACTTGTACTGTGATTTTCACTCCTGAGCTTTCCAACACTTAAGCATCTTACATCAGTTGTGGCACAGTACCAGTTGCATGCTTGCCATTTGCACACAGCACAGAGTTTCTCAGGTCTACCAACATTTGCTGTGTTTATCTGATTCTTTGTCTTGAGATTATAATCACAGTTCATTTGCTGACGTAGACCTATTTTCAGTTGACCTCTTTTTACGTCCCTAAAATGTGTACAATCAAAGTGTAGAAACAGGGACACAAAGACAAGGAAAGACATGGCAGTGCAAACATTATGTACAGCGAATGTAAACTGAATTTTAACCCCCAAAATGTGTCAAACGTCCACACTGACTTTTTTACTGTCACAGACTGGGCTCCTGCTGCTTTGGTTGTTGGGCGGAAGCTCACTGCCACGGTCAGCTCAGAAAAGGTCTTCGGGACTCATTGTGAAACC